GTAAAACCTTACCATATAATATTTCAGTAACAAAACAAATTGCTCATTGCTCATTTTTTGCTCTTAAATTATCTAGGTGCTTTTTGTTTGTTCATTTTTAATTGCAAAAGTCAGATATATAGAAAGGAGGAGAGAGGGAGAGGAAGATCTTCCATCCAATGATTCACTCCCAAAGTGGCTGCAATGGCCAGTGCTGAACCGATCCAAACACAGGAGCCGAAGCCAGGAACTTCTTCTCCCACTCAGGTGCAGGGTCCCAAGGCCTTGGGCCATCCTCGACTGCTTTCCCAGGCTACAGGCAGGGAGCTGGATGGGAAGTGGAGCTTCCAGGATTAGAATCGGCACCAAGGGATCCCGGTGCTTTCAAAGTGAGGACTTTAACTACTAGGCCACTTTGTTGGCCCCATAATTTGATTGAATTATTGGCTCCATGCTTTGTGTTGCCTGGCCCCAGTTTTAAAATAGGTTATTAAATTGATTTTCAACTTATTACCATTGCACTTGTCAGATTAAAATTATTAAAATTACTAAAAATTATGTAAGGAAGCAGAGGTCTATTAAGACAATATCCCAATAGGGGACACCTGACACTGCTTGTAAGCTCATACTATAAAAATTGTATTCAGAACTCGAGCTGGGTCTAGGATTATTTAATTTTGTGAAATCTCATCCTTTGTGCTTCTGTTAAAAAGACTAATAGAAACATTTAAGGCTAATGTTACATTCTTTTAAAATTAATTTTTATTAGCTAATATCCCTCCCTTGTTTGTTTTCCTTAGGGAAATATGCCCAGGTCACCAACAATCCTGAAAATGATGGATGTATCAATGCAGTCTTACTTGTCTGACAGCAATCTCATATAAGTAACTTCTAACCATTCAAGAAGACTGCAGATTAAATGGGGACACTGTCATTCCTGTGATGCTTCTGCAAACTACCAAATAGCCCTACTCTACAGTCATCAAGAGAGCTATTGATTAATCTGTAAAACAACAAACAAACAAAAAACATTAAAAAGATCCACTTCTACAGGTTGGTCTTTATTTGGGGTCTACTAAGGGTTTACAAAAGCATAAAATGTGAACGATTGAAAAGGTAAGTGACAGATGTCCTACCTCGCACCTCGCTGTTGACCACGCAAGCGACTCGCTGTGTAGCCGTGCACATCTGTCCTCATGGAAAAAAGCATCGGGAAAGCTGCGGACACTTGATAAACGGTATCTCACACTTCACAGGGGGACCTGGGCTAGGAAACGTTTTTGATGTCTGAGACCTTCAGTTTCTTCCGCCTTATTATTCATCATTTATAAAGTACTTACACTGCAAAGTAGTGTACTTACACTAAGCTACATTAAGTTCTTACAGAACTCAAAGTCTTTGTACAGTAAGAATATTCTAAACTTTTTTCATACGGTATAGTTGTTAACTAAATTTTCTACTTGAAACATGAAAAAAAAAACTATAAAATGCTTGCACATTGTTAGCAGTTTAACATATTCTAAATGTAGGATAATGCCTCTGTGCCTTCTAACCGGTACTAAATTGATCTGATTTCAGCTTAGTTGTAAAAGGAAAAAGCCTTCAGTGATGCCCTGAAAAGAAAGTGTACTCACTTAGGAAATATAGTTGTTTAGGATTGTAACTTTCAGCATTTTTGTGATCTGAACTACGTATGTGGCTTTAAGCATCAGAATGTCTATTAATTTGTGATCACTGCATTGTTTTAAATTATTTTAACTTCAGAATTCAAACTATCAGTGTGATAGTTGTGCCTTTAACAAAATCCATATTTAAAATTCATATAGCTAGAGCACAGCTTCATGAGGGAAAAATATTTGCAAAAAGAGACCAACAAACAATCACAAAATATAGGTTTAATTACCACTTTTAACCTTTAAAAAAACGTATCAAGAAAACAAATGTAAAGTAGTAGGATTTGCTATTCGTAACATCTTTTCTAAGTTCCATAGACAAGGTTTCATGACACAGGCATAAAAGGTTTCCTTGATAACCTAGGGTGATATGGTCACTTGATGGCAAAAGCTGAGTTCTTTTCACAGTTAGATTTTTAAGCATTATTTTACCACTAATTAAAAAAGTGCAAATGACTTAAATTCTGGAGGTGAAAGAAACATACTTCCGGATAATCACTGGATACTGCAGAAATGAGATTTGCTTATTTTTAGAACCCAACGTGAAGCAGATGAGAATCCCATGAGGTACACAGAAGGGTTTATATAACGTAAGGATGCAAACATAAGCCTAACATCGGTAACGTCACCACCATGAAAGATGACCTTATGTGAAACACCACGTTGCTACTAGTGGACCGAGGAGAAATTTGTACTGTTTACAGATGAGCACTGTTAGTATAAACTCCTATTTACAGTGAGATGTGTTTTAGTTTGCTGGTGTGCCCAAACCTTGGAAGGTGATCCCTAAGGATAAAGTGGAACAGATACTGAGTTACTAGGTCAAGATTCACTTCTGCAATGAACGACTTTCATGAAGCCAAAAGTAAAAGATTAAGGATTAGATGTTATTGTTGCCATCTGCAATTAATGGAAACACCATAAATACAAACACAGTTGAAGCAAGAGGCTGGCATTCTAAGTCATGCTATTTGATTTTTCATAAGAAAAAATTCTCATCTTTAAAAGTTGCAGAGGATATTGAATAAAAATTTGAATGTACTAATCTCTGTGATGTCTACTAATTGAATAATTTAAGCTTTAAAGGGGAACTAAAATTTTCCTAATAGCCATCTGGATTATATTATACAAGGAAGTATATGTTATGTACAGAAAAAGTGAACTCCGTAAAAGGTCTCTAAACAAGTTCACAAAGAACTGTATAACAATTAGATTAGCTGTTTGAAATCACATTTGAAGGTTGTTCTCTAATGTCTTAGAAAACTACAGGTACCTCATTAAGTTTATTGAAGAAAATATAAATCCTATACTCAAGTCATTGAATGTGAAAGTTAGGTTTTCCCATTGGACCTAACTTTCTTTGTGATCTATCAACCTAAATTTTCTTACCCAAGGATGTAACATGTTTCTGTGTGTAAAAAAGTTGAAACCTGAAAATCCATTGACTGTCGAAACATGTCTACACTGTTAGCCCAGGGGTAATATATGGATAACTCTGTTTATGAACTTTGAACTGCATTCACTCATGGAGTTGTCCGTGCGCTCAATCTTGGTTAAAATCTTTAAAAATGTTTTTGCAAAATGGGTTGTGGAATTTGCGGAATCTTACCAATCTTCTGTTACTTCCTTAGTTGTGATATTCAACATAAGTTTCTCATAAAATGTATAAAACAGCATGACCAGTAAATCTGACTTAATTTCAACATTTGAGAAAACAAATACCTAATTTTCAAAGTGAAATAATCTGTAGGACATAAGTGCACAAGGCCTTACAGGAAGAGGAGGGCTTAACTATGTTGCCTGCAGAAAGGTTTTAATTCAGTTAATTAGATCCTTCTAAAACAGCACCATCTCAAAGTATAATAATAAGACATCAACTAACTGATGCCTGAATGAGCCTTCTACATCAGTAAGACAAAAGTCATACTGTGTCTCACAGCAGGGTCAAGACCAAGCTGTATGAGAAGCACTCCACGCTCAAATATTTATCAACTTCAGCACAAATTTAAGTGCATGTCATACTTTCCAAATTTTGAGATTCTCTTTAGTCAACAGCTAACGATTTTGTTCATTTTTAATTACCATATGAAAAATAATAGTTGAGAATTATTTTCTTCTACTGAAAGGCTTCTAGTATGGCAGTGTGAAGCACAAAACAGGCTTGCTCACAACCAGTATTCACAGAAGAAATAATCTAAAAGGCTGCCTGAAGTCTCCCATCTGACTGAACTGCTTTTAGCTACAGCTGAGGGCAACTTGCACTCCTGCCCTTTTGGTCTAAAATCATGGAATGCAGTTCCAAATCTAACAGGCAGGCAGCCAGCAGGTGTTCTAATCTGGGGAAATGCTGCCATGAATGAGTTGTGTTGATGGCTGGGTAGGTGGAGGGGTGGGGGGCTGTGGCAGAAGCCTCAGAAAAGGGATCTTACACAACTGGAAGTACAATGACAACTGAACAGGGACAACAATACACTCTCGACTTGGACCTAAGCACCGACAAGAACCAGATAACTCAAGTTAAAACGATGAATTACATGAGTCGGGATGTTTACCTGATTAGAATAAGTAAAAGTAGACGCTTTAATCTTGCAAGCATTTGCAGCAATTCAGAGAGGAAAATTAGAGCAAAGGAATACTTCAAATAGAGCCTGTATGCCTCGGTTAAATACCCAGCAGTACTTTTAATAACAGACGTCAGAATCATAAACAAAACTTTCTGGATACCTTTCCACAAGCATTGAATTTAAGGAAGAAACTGCATGTACAACTAAGATTACAATGTCTAAAGTCAAAATATCACTTCCACAAAATTTGTGACCACAAATATGTTTTTGTGCTCACATAGTTGAAGTTATATTTAATTTAGTGATATTTATTTTTGCTTAGGCATGCTTGCATTTTAAAAAAAAACCTGATTTATATTGAAGATAAAACTCCTAGAACCCTCAGCAAGTTTAACTATTAAAATCCTTAGTATAAAAGGTTTCTGTGATCCTTTCAGGTAATGGAAAACCTACTACTTTTTGTTACTATTTTGTTACTTTTTGAAATACTAATGGTCAGATGCCCCACCAGCTAAACAAAATAGAATATGATCTGGTTTCCCACAATTGAGACAATAGTTAATAAAAGTAAAAAAAAAAAAAAATGCATTTACACAAATAGCCTGAAAAATTAAAAAGAATGGTGAATTTAGATCCTGAAGGGAAGAGAAAAACTGCATGGTTAACAAGTTCATATCGTAACTTTGTAAATGTGTGTCCTGTGCGCCATGCTGCTTATTAATTACCTTATTTTTAAAACAACAATAAGGTTGACAAAGAAGAGGGTTTTCTCATCTAGGTTCCTTCAGGTCAGCTTGGCCTTCTTCTTAGCAGGTCCTTTGTGCCCTTTGGCCTTTCTTCTTAAATTCCGCCTGTCTACCACAGGCACCTCCACCTCGATTTCTTCAGAGCTGCTATCCGCAGCCTTCTCTGCCGACTGCGTGAACTGATCGAGCTGCTCCGAAGATGCTTCCGACTGCTCCTCGGACTGGCTTTTCTGTCCTGCATTCTGGGAAAATGGCACATCTTCAAGTTCCACCTCTATGAGAGAACTCTGAGCAAGAGCAGCAGACGTTTCCTGGGGCTCAGCTACCCCCTCCTCACCCTGCTCTTCCAATGAGGAAGTGGGGTTGGGCGATAAGTTCTCAGAGACAGGTTCTTCAGACAACTCGGGTGTCACAGAGTTTGGAAAACCACTGTCCAGTCGCTCTTCATTGGACATAGCAGCGACGCTGTCTGAACTCCCAAAATGTGCCTTCTTTTTCGAAACAAAAGGCAGCTTTTCTTCTATGTACCCCTTTTCATCAGATGAGCCTTGGTCTGTCAACACATCTGAGTCGGTCGTATGTGGAATCTGAAAATAAAGAAGCTTTTGTAATACAGCTCAAATTTTTAGACATGAACATGCAATGACTGATCTTAAAGGATTCAGTCTTCATTACTTTTGTCAACCGTGTGTACTATTCTGAACAAATCCAAATTCTTCTAAATTGTCTCATATTCTGATACACTATTGTTTTTAAAGATATCCTAAAAGCCCCCAGTGAGCTAGGTAGGGGGAGAGCCAGACTGAGCTACGTGACCATACTCACTGTAGGTGCATGAGCAAGAGTAAGTACTGGCTGGCTGAGCTTTGCCACAGCATCAACCAGCAAGTGTTGAGACGGAGTAAATCCTGTCAGGCTAGACCGCAGTGCCACCTAGGAAGTGCAAAATCTGAGACTGGGACTGGGCCTAGTAGGAAAACTGAGCACACCTCTGATGGGCTGTAGCTTTCACCAGTGAGCATTTGAACTAGAACTGGGGGCAGGCATGGCTGGACAAGCAATAGCACCTGCTGGCCTAAGTGTGGGCTGGACAATGGTACCAGTCATACACATTTATTGGTGCTGCGGCCTAACTGTGCCTAAGAACCAATGGGATGTGGAACTGACTGGACTAGCCTGCTGCACTTACTTGCATGTGAATGAACCAAAGCTGGGGAGGGGGCCGGCTTGGTGGGGGTTGCTTCAATTAGGCTACAGTTCCTGCTGGTGTGTGTGAGGGCAATGTGAGGTGGGCAGTGTTGGCCTGGGCTGCAGCATCCACTGGTTTGCATATGAGACGGGGCGGGAGATGGAAATGACTGGGCCACTGCAACCAGAAGTGTGTGTGTGTGGGCTGATGTAGGTGATGGACTGAGCTGGATTCTGTACTGGCTGGCAAACACAGGAACTAGATCTGGGGTCACCTGCAGTGAGGTTTCTTTTGGGACACCGTGCCGCCCTCCCCAAATAACTGGACACTGGACTCAAAATTCCAACCCCCAGGGAAAATCACAGGATGTGTGGTCCGACCGTGGAGTCCGTGTGTCAGTATTAGCCCTCCTCTGTTGCCGAAGCCTGTTTGGTGCACGGCATGCTTAGACGCACATGGGGGATATGAGAGATCATTGGGACCTGCACAGAACATCTAGTACGATGGGTGGCAGAACAAATGGGAACTCTCCCGGCCAAGCTTTAATAGCAAGTCTCTGGGCGAGTAGAGATGCTGAGGTGGACTAGGTCAGTCCTTGAAAGGATTTCCTCAACCATGGAGCAACAGAAACAACACCACCGCCGAACTACCAAAACCACTTGGGCTGTGCCCTTGGAACATGCTCCACACTGGGGGCCTTGGGATGACACCGAGTGGTCGTCCCCTATCCCAGGGTACTGATGCAATTAGGCTGCTGGGAGCAGTCCTCTCCACTTCCTTTGTCCCTTCCTCCAGATACAGGAAGGAAGGAAAAAATGGAGACAACTAACTGCCTCATCTACTTCCCCCATTCCTCCACCCTTCTCAGCCTAATCAGTGTTCCACAAGGGCATGCATCCCTCTCCACAATGTAAACATCAAAAATAAGTAGGGCCTGGCGCAGTAGCTTAGTGGCTAAAGTCCTCGCTGTGAATGGATCCCATACAGGCGCTGCTTCTAATCCTAGCGGTCCCACTTGCCATCCCACTCCCTGCTTGTGGCCTGGGAAAGTAGTGGAGGACAGCCCAAAGCCTTGGCACCCTGCACCTGCGTGGGAGACCCGGAAGAGACTCTGGGCTCCTGGCTTCAGATCAGCTTGGCTCTGACTGTTGCAGCCACTTGGGGAGTGAATCATCGAATGGAAGATCTTCCTCTCTGTCTCTCCTCTCTGTATGTCTGCCTTTCTAAAAAAATAAATTCTTAAAAATAAAATAAGTAATTAAATGATAAGAATAAACAAAAGACCCCATATCAAGATTTTTCTCCACCATCAGCGTATGTCTTCTTTTTTTTTTTTTTTTTAAAGATTTATTTTTATTATTTTTTTTACTGGAAAGGCGGATATACAGAGAGAGACAGAGAGGAAGATCTTCCATCTGATGATTCACTCCCCAAGTGAGCACATGGCCAATGCTATGCCGATCCGAAGCCAGGAGCCTCTTCTGGGTCTCCCACGCAGGTGCAGGGTCCCAAAGCTTTGGGCCATCCTCGACTGCTTTCCTGGGCCACAAGCAGGGAGCTGGAAGGGAAGCGGGGCTGCCAGGATAGAACTGACGCCCATATGGGATCCTGGGCATGCAAGGCGAGGACCTTAACCACTGTGCCACGCTGCCGGGCCCCAGCCTATGTCTTTAAAGTAACTAAACCATTGGTTTGACTATGAACACAAACATTTAACAAATAAAATCTGATCCATTTTTTCTGAGTATTGCCCTCTGTAAAATAAAGCTCGTTTTGCTACTATAATTTATATCTGAGTAAGGCTTTATAAAATATTAGAATTTAGGGAATTCTGCTATGGGTTCACTTTCTTATTAAATATTACTTAATTTTCCTGAGAGACTGTGCAGGTAAATCTTGAAGAAGAAATACAGTACAGCTCCTCTTCAGTAACACCAATATCTCTCCACTTTTATTATTTAAAAAAAAAAAATGTATGTTCTTTGCTTCTTACCTTATCTGCTGCAACAGTCTCAGGGGGTTTTGCAGGTTCGACCACCAGGGGAGCAAAATTTGTAGCCTCTTCACTGGAATTGAAAGACTGCAGCTTCAGTTCTTCATCTAACCCTTCACTGGCAGAGTCCTCCTCTTCAGTTACGAGCGAGGTCTTGAGGCTTTCATCCATTAGCTCACCATTCACAGGCTCTAACTCAGATTCCTAGGCCATGAGGTGGGAGGGAGGGGAAGAAAAGTTAGGATATGATTTAAAAAAAAAAAAAAAAACTTGTTAACCAAGATGGGTCCCTTCTCAGCCTCTATCTGTAATCAACCAGAATTGTGGATGAATTTTAAATATTAAAGGGTGTCACCTGTCCTTATCCCAATACGTTAAGCTACCGCTTACAACACAAGCATCCCATAGCAGCAATCTGAGCTTCGACCGTTGTGCTTGTGATCCAGCTCTCTCCTAATGCACGTGGGAGAGCAGTGGAAGATGGCCCAAGAGCCTGGGACCGTGCAGCTCACATGGGAGACCCAGACGGGAGTTTCAGATCGCTGGCTTCAGCTGCACTCCGCCAGGGGACCGCTGCGGCCACTGAGCAGGGAAAGGTGGCAAATCAGCTACTGAAAACACTCTCTCTGGTTCTTCATCGCTCCCTACCACTAAATAACTTTCAAAAAAAATCATGCCTTCTACATCTTTTTTTAAAAACAACTACAGGATCTAAGTTAAACAATGGGCTTACTCGTGGAAAGGGGACATGTGTGTTTTAGGGTCAGCCAATGGGAAGAATCTGTGAGTATACCATTCTCAGGCCCTTCTTGAACAGCCAGGACAGGATCAGGACTTTGTATGAAACTCAGGAGCAAGGGTCTGCCTCCTCTTGTGTGCCTTTCATAGCAGTTAACATTTATTTCATCTTAAAGGCAGAAACAGAGATCTCCCATCCAATCACTGCTTTACTCTACAGCTCCCTGCAACAACCAGGACTTAGCCAGGCTTGGTCAACAGTAGAGAACTGAATCAGAACCTCCCATGTGTCACAGGGATCCAAGCACGTGAACTACAGTATAGACCAGCAGGTAGCTGGAGCAGCAGTACAGGCAGAGCTCCAACCCAGACACTACGACACGGCAGGTGGGTGTCCCGAGCTTTATCTCGGCCACTGCGTCATTAGCCAGCCATTCGTAGGAGGAGCTAGAGCGGACCCAGATTTGACGTGCACTCTACCGAGCCAGCTCATCAGCTCTGGAATTCTTGGGGCCTGTTAGAAGGTACAGTTTACTCTGCCAGAGGGAGGAAGCAGCCATCTCATGGAAAACTGAATGCGGGTGCTGCTGCTTGCGGGGAGAGTCTCAGCCAGCTCACTTCAGCCAACCCCAGGGCATCTTGGAATAATCCCACATTACTGAAATATACAAATGAGATCTTATAACACCCTCCAGTTGCCCAAACCTCTCTCTCTCTCTCCTTCCTACTTTTAAATCAATAAATACAACATAACCGACATAGGCAATCTAATTGCTTCAGTGAGGTTATAGAATCTGTGTATACACGTTTTTAGGAGTGCTGAATTCCACAAATTAATTATATTTTACATGTAATAATTCATTTTATTAGTTAAATCTATTTCGTTTTCAATAGAACTCAAATTTTTATGAACTGTTAGAAAATAAAAAGTTAAATTTTAATTTGCTCTCACTGCACTTAACCCCCGAGCCCACACCTTTTCAGCATCTTGCTTCTCCGGCCGTGGCTGTGCCTCGGGGACAGGCCGCGCATCTTTCTCGGAGCTTTCATCTTCAAGTCCACTCGCTCTGTGCTCTACTTCCTCTTCCAGGAATTCTTCTGAGCTCTCTGACGTGTGCGCCACCATGTCCAACCTAAAAGAGCAAGAAGATATTCTTCGTTATTTTATTAAAGATAAATATGGAAGTTCAAAAATTCTGTTTTTTTTTTTTAAGGATTTTTATCTTTATTGGAAAGTTAGATTTACAGAAGGAGGAAAGAGAGAAAGATTTTCCTTCTTCTGATTCACGCCCCACAGTGACCGGAATTGAGCCAATTCGAAGCCAGGAGCCAGGAGCTTCCTCCGGGTCTCCCACGCGGGTGCAGGGTTCCAAGGCTTTGGGCCGTCCACGACTGCTTTCCCAGGCCACAAACAGGGAGCTGGATGGGAAGTGGGGCAGCTGGGATACAAACTGGTGCCCACATGGGATCCCGGCGTGTGCAAGACACCATGCCGCTGTGCTGGGCCCACTAACTTCAGTTCTATCCAACAGCTCAGGAAGATCAATGACTGTCAAGTAATATTGAGGTTCTTCAAATACTGACTAAAACCCCAGCATTCTGAGCTATACTCTCAAGGCTGTACTGCTGCCAAGAGCAACCAGTAACCCTGGGGAACTCAAAGGCAAACTCGCACATCACGGCCATTCACCGTACAACGAAATAACAACTCGCACCTTAAGAACTGAACAATAACAACGCAAAAGTTACTAACAAACAAAATAAGGTAAGTAAACAACTTTTTTACTTGTTTATCAAAGTCTGCCGGGTCTTTTCATCTTCACCTAGCGCACTATTCAACTCGGAATCCTGAAACCGTTTTCCAATCTTAGGCCGCTTTAGATGACCACTCCGAGTACGCGTGGAAAGAGATGTTTTATCATGACCTGAGGGAAAAACAACAACAACAATAATCTGAACCATGTATTTAAAGGACCACCTGATATAATCCACAAAAACACTACATACTCCTAAATGACTGCCCTTCCCTCAAGTCAATTTAAAAAAACAAAGTGAGCTCTCTCTCTAAGATTTATTCATTTTACTTAGAAAGTCAGTTACAGAGAGACCAGGAGAGACAGAGAGAAAGATCTTGCATTCACCGGTTCCCTTCCCAAAAAAGCTGCAACACCCAGAGCTGGACTGGTCTGAAGCCTGGAGCCAGGAACTTTTCCCAGGTCTCCCACGTGGGTGCAGGAGCCCTAGAACTTGGACCACTCCCTAGTGCCTGTCCAGGTCTTCGGCAGGAGGCTGGATAGGGAAGTGGAACAGCCAGGATACAAACAAGTGCCCAAATGGGATGTTGCCACTGGCATGTAGAGGATTAGCGTGATACAGCACCATGCCAGCCGCAGCATCTTTTTCTAAATTATCAATGTGAGATATTACTGTCCCTGTTTTTAATAGCTAAAAAAAAGAGAGGTACAATAGCTTACTTACTCAATACTGGCATAATGAAGTGGGTGGTGGTTGTGGTGGCACTGGAGCCCAGATCTGGACTTTGGAGCTCAGTAAGTTTTCTTCCGGTGACACAAAACCTCTGTGTGTGTGTGTGTGTGTGTGTGTGTGTGTGTGTGAGATTGTGAGGGTCACAAATACTTACTGAAGAGTGGCTGAGTTTCTTACCTTCAGAAGTACTTGCAAAGGTATCTTTTAGAGAATCAATCTGAAACAGACAAAACACAAAGCCGTAGACTGTATTTTCTGTCTTTATTCGTGTTATTTCATTGACAGGGTCAAAGAAAAACTCTTTCCAATAAAATTTTTGTTAAGAAAACTCAGCTTAAGAAGAAAGGGGTCTTACTATAGCTTCATGTTATAAGTCTAAGAACCTTTGCAAGCCATGTAGGTTGGTGATACGCAGCTGAGCTACCCACGCTTCTGTCCCCGGCCACTTGTCTGCGTTCACAGGCTCTTCCTTCGCTATCACCTCAGCATTTAAGGAAATTTGCTGGTGAATCCAAATATGCAATATAAGTTCAAACTTCCCTCCTCATTTCTGAAGCTCAGTTTCCAATGAAACACCTCCTGGAGGATGTTCCATTTAATATTTCATCTAGCCTTTTCCCAAATGAATTGTGTCTTTCCCGAATATTATTCCCTATTGTATGCTTTTTTTTTTTTGAGATTTATTTATTTTATGCGAAAGGCAGATGTACAGAGAGGAGGAGAGACAGAGAGGAAGATCCTCTGTCTGATGACTCACTCCCCAAGTGGCTGCAACAGCCGGTGCTGCGCTGATCCAAAGCCAGGAGCCAGGAACCTCCTTCAAGTCTCCTAGAATGGGTGCAGGGTGCCAAGGCTTTGGCCCATCCTAAATTCCTTTCCCAGGCCACAAACAGGGAGCTGGATGGGAAGCAGGGCTGCCAGGTTAGAACTGGCGACCATATGGGATCCTGGTGTGTTCAAGGCGAGGACTTTAGCTACCAGGCCACTGCACCGGGCCCAAAAGATTTTTCTGTCCTTCTCTCTGTAAATCTGGCTTTCCAATAAAAAACAAATAAATCTTTAAAAAAAAAAAAAAAACAACTCATCTCTCACAATGAGATCGGAATTTGGCAGAAACTCAGCCAAGAACTTCTGCTCTGGGTTCTTAACACCAATGAGCTCTGTCCTCCCACCTTCAGAATACTCGGTGTTTGAAAGTGCATTATAAATCCTAGTGTAAACAGCCTTCCACGTTCCAGGAAAACATCACAATCCTGGCTTATTACCAAATCTGTATGTGCATGCACAACGATTTAAACCTAAGTGTTTATTTATACACACTAAAATTAAAAATGGAAAAACCTCAGTATCTCATGCTAAGAAAAAATGAGTATCAACCTGTTAACAGAAAATATAAATAAAATAAAAAGAAATAAAATATTGTGCTACTATTTAACAATTATTCTTTGGAACAGAAAAAAAAAAAACAGTTAAAGGTAGTATAACAAAATAAAAACAAAAATGAAATGTATACAAATACATGTCCATAACAGTAAGCTGTGGTTATAGATTCCTATTTTCCTCTATATCATTTTATGTACTTCCTAAATTATCTTTCTTTAGCTCGAAGTACTATTAACATCATTAGAATTATTTTCCAAAGAACGCTAAGTCCTAGTAATCGATGAACAGATGATACCAAGAAAATTAACATACATTGAAAAACACCGGAGTTGCAGCATGTAAGTTTAAAATGCTAACTGGACATATTTTTAAAGACAGAAAAATGATATTTTTAAATAAACATGCAGGATACCTACCGTTAGCTGTGCCTCCCCAGGCTTAGGGTCTTCAGTACCTGCTTCGTGTTCTGGAACAGACGCAACCCCACAGTCTCCAGACACAGCTCTTTTAGCTTCCTTCTGAGAAACTGCTGTGTGTAAACAATTTGTAATACTGAAACTCCACCGGGTTTGGGGCTTAGCTGTAACATTGGACTGGTTTTCATAAAAGCTTTCAAGAGGGTACTGATGTTAAAAGGAAATTTTGAGATTCGACAGAGTCTTCAATATTTATTTCAAGTATTTAGTCACCCTAGAGAGGCATGAAACCCGGGGCTACCTTGCTACCCTGGCATCTAGTCCATATGCCACTGCTGGTTAATTTCTAATCCATGAATTCCCATCAATCTGTTAACGCTTAGCTGAGCTATTCTAAATTCTTGTAGTGGAGACTCAAAGTTAACATATAATAAAAATCCAAACTTTAAACGAGAGGGTCTTTTACTAGAAAGCACACGATAACACATCTGAACTGTAAGACATAATCATAAACAGCAACTTTTTAAGCTGGACTTGGGTTCAAACTGAAAACACTGCTACCTGTGACTTTAAGCGCTTCTCTCTGTAATGCTCTGGTGGCTGGGATTCGCTGGTACCAGTGGCCAACACCTTCAACTTCCCAGAGCAGTTCATGGTCTCCTGGATATTTTTCAAAGTATTGCTTGCAAGCTGAAAAAAGAGAGTTAGAATTTTCTCGAAATCTCATATTATCAACTGCTTTGAAAACAATAAGAAGGAGAGTTAACCAACTTACTTAATGGAACCAGAACAACCTTTGTGACAACCCGCCAGTAAGGCAGCTCAAGGAAAACACACAACTGTCTAATTTATAAATAATATTTAAGACCTCCCAAAGCATTTTAATATGACCATCCAATAAAACCCTAATAAAAACATGCTTTACCTTCACAGAGGAAAATACTAAATGTCACTGAGAGATACAGCAGAACGGAATAAAACAACTGTCAGACTCAGTCAAGCAGTATAAAAATACCAGTTCTCAGCATATTAATCTGCAGATTCCATGAAATTCTTAACAAAATTCCAATGGAGTTTGTTTTTAAGTAAAATTTTACAAAATGTGACTCCAAATTTAAAATGCAATAACAAAAGGTTGGGACCAGCCCAGCACGGTCTGCTATGTCAGAATCTGATTTTGGTGTGTGGGTAAGAATTTCAACTACTCTGATGTTGCTGGCTTCCTGCTAATATGCCCAAGGGGGCACTGAATAATGATAGCTGAAGTACTTGGGACTCTGTCATCAAAAGTAAGCCCTAATGGGTAAACAGCTCCAAATGTAATTACTATCAATGTATACATGTGCACAACATTCTGGATAAGTCAGTCAGAAATCGTTTAAATTTAATCCTTTACCTGTACACATGAGAGAAGACAGTGGATACCTCAAGCCAAGTGTATCTTCTGTAAAGGAATCAACAAAGTCTTCCAGCATTTGAAGCCCAAAATCTTTCCCTCTATATTTCTTTCTTACAAACATCGTATCAAGAACTGGCAGTTGGTAACTTTGGGTGAGAAATGAGGCACATGTGCTTCCTGCAGTAATAACAACAGAAACCAAGCAATTTTTACATTAAAATATGTATCCATTTATCAAACTTGATTTAAGCATCTCCCACACACTGCTGAGACTGGAACGGATGTTTGACACAGGGCTTAACAGCACTGACGATGCCCAAATCCTCAAACAGAGGGTCTTCAGTACGAGCTCCAGTCTGGCATCTGAGTCCAGCTTCCTGCTGACCCACACTCTGGTAGGTAGCCCATGATGATTCAAGTATGGAATCCTAGCCACCACTCTTACCGGAGTTTACAAGCTCGTGGCTTTTAACTCAGTCCCAGAAACTGCGGAAGTGAACCAGAGGATGAAAGTTCTGATTCCCCACCTTTCTGATAAAGTTCAAATAAAAATTTTTAAAAAGAATATTAAATATATAAATATTATAAAAGATTTCCTTGTTATTTCATGCCAGGCAAGAACGTGATACTGAGAAGAACTTTGTATCATATAATACAGGATACACAGCTCCCTGTCACTGTTTGAATTAGAGTCAGCTAGATGTATTATAGATACTATTACTGTTCTACAGACTTACACACCTTTAAAACTCATCAACCATCAAAATTCTCAAACCCAAAGAGTTACTGAAATACCTAAATTCAATCTTGCCATCTGAATACTCATCCTTTTCATTTCCCCCTACTGGGTACAATATCCTACAAGGATATAAGAATTCTGAGAAGTGGGGTTCACTGCAGGCCATCAGTGACACGGATACCACAGGGACCTATTCTGTGGATGCCCCTCTCCTACTTCCCAGATCCTCTGCAGCCAGCAAACAGGACAGAGATACATATTTTAGGGTCAGAATTTGAAACTGTAGATCAACAAATTCAGAGCTGTTTATAATTCTAAATGTATTACAGCATTTTTACTTGAACTAAGAGAAATATGTATTAAGCTCTTCTACTTAGCTATCCTGCTCTGAAAATGGTCAGCATCAATCAACTGCGCTAACCAGAAAAGGGTTATTATGCATTTGGACCACAGGGAGACTGTGGTCTTAAGAAGAGACAGTTAGAGAGACAGAATAAAGGGAACAAAGAGGACGGAAATACAAAACAGAATCATGGCTCGGTGTATAGACTTCCTCCACACACACAGGTCAGATGTTCTCATTTTATTTTACTCAATAGAATTTCCCAACAATTCTCACCTTTACAGTAGGGTAGAATGTAAGCACGCCTAAGAAATCTGACCTACAATCATCTCAGTTTGATGATACAACTTAACAGACATGGATACAGTTGGGCGGATCTAAAAATGGAGACTTCCATAACATAACTTTCAGATAACTTTTAAAGACTCACCTGTAGGCTTAACTGAATAAAACCCAATGGCCTCTCCTTTCTTCCACAGAATCTTAGCATAATCAGTACTGCTATGACACAGAAATGGGATCTCGTTTCTTTCCATTTCCTGTTTTCTATAAATAATTCGATTCAGAACATACAGAACCACTCTCTCCCCAAGGGTGCTCACCTACAAAGGGTCAAACAACAGGCATAAGTTAAAACATGCATCAGGAAGGAGAAGCCGTTTACCTTGCTCCAGCTCTCACACTTCCTACCAGCATTCAAAACACTTTAAGCCCATCCAAAACCATTTAAACATTTTATCAACACAGGTGTGAGACTCAGCGTTTATACCACTAGCAATCACATGGGGGGGGGGGGACGGAACAATACTTTTTGGTAAAATTCCAGAAGAAACTAAACAAGTTCCCAATACACCAATCACCCTGTGTCTCGTTCAGCACTGTGTCCTCTTTCTGCTTCCAGCTGCCCAGACACAGGCCCTTCCAAGCCCAAGGGCAGCCCCTCTAAGGATAGTCTCCTAACTCATTTTCACTTCTGCTTGCCAGCACACTAAAACACACACACACACACGTGTGTGTTATTCCCTAAAGACAAAAAAGAACAATCACTTCATCTGATGAGGGAAGCCCTATTTATGCTCTTGGGAAAGCAATCTGTCACACCTTTTCCAGGTAAAGTGTTCATTTCACAGCCCCATGCTTTGTTTGTACCATGGAAATAACCTCCATTCTCTCTCTCTCTCTCTCTCTCTCTCTCTTTTACTGAAAAGTCAGATATACAGAGAGGAGGAGAGACAGAGAGGAAGATCTTCTGTCCAATGATTCATTCCGCAAGTGAGCGCAACGGATGGAGCTGAGCCAATCTGAAGCCAGGAGCCAGGAGCTCCTTTCCGGGTCTCCCACATGGGTGCAGGGTCCCAAGGCTTTGGGCCGTCCTCAACTGCTTTCCCAGGCCACAAGCAGGGAGCTGGATGGGAAGTGGAGCTACCTGGATACGAGCCGGCACCCATATAGGATCTCGAGTGTATTCAAGGCAAGGACTTTAACTGCTATGATATCGTGCCAGGCCCTCCCTCCAACTCTTTTTCTCCCCTTTTCCAGATCAACTAACAGAAGAGGCTGCCAGAAAGAAGGAGATCTAGAGAAATACACTTGGGACAACCACATCAAATAATGATGTCAAGGAATCGGTCTTCCCCTGATATAGCTTTTACTGCTAAAATTGATAGCTCTGAACATAATGTCTATTTTCTCCAATGTTACCAGAAAATAAAACAAGTTGGCTATTTGATTAGATCAAAGAGGAAAAAAATGAGTTCACATACATACACTATCAAAAACACAGCTAGCAGGGGCTGGCTGGCACAGTGCAACAGCAGGTAAAGCTGCCATCCGTAGCACCAGCATCACACATCCTGGCTGCTCTAATTCCAATCCAGCTTCTGTCCCAGATGCCTGGCAAAGCAGCAGATGAAGGCCCAAGTTCTTAGGCCCTTGCCCCCACGTGGGAGACCTGGATGAATCCCTTGGCACCCGCTTTAGCTTGCTCCAGCCCTGGCACTGCAGCCATGTGGGGAGTGAAACAGAGGATGGAGGATCTCTCTCTCTCTCTCCCTCTTCTTTCCAACAAACAATTTAAAAAAAGGAAACTAAACAACCTAGCAGGAGATGTCCCTTACTCAGCAACACAGTAAATGAAAAGAAGCTAGTCAGTACCAAGTTACAACTCCTCCGTGCCCAGTACAGCCCTGCACTAAAATTCCTTCCTCACACTGAGCTGAAATCAGTCTTTCAAAGACTGTACCATAGCACAGCCTGGAAATACATTTGAAGAGAGCCGTGATGTGACCTCCAGTTTTACACCTGAGTTAGAGAGACAAGCAAAAGAAAAGGCCAATTTAACACAATTTAGGATACTCCTTCCATTCCAATCCTCTCCCTTAAAACTGCTCTGGATCCTAATACTTGTCTTCATGTATGCAAACATGGATGAAAGCACCTAAGATACCTCTGGGAGAAAGAAGGTTTCCATGTGACTTTAGACTTTTACTAGTTTGGCCTACTTTCATTTTATGTCTAACTAAAGCTCGTCTTTTGTACATGCTGTTTTCGTTTGGCTTTCATGGTGCTACTCTACAAGGAATCTTTTTGAACCTATAGGCATCACATTGCCTGTATCCTTATTCAATTGAATTTAATCCCTCTCTCTCTTTTCTTAATTCTGCTTTCCAGAAATGTTCTCCCCCTTCAGTGCTGTGACATGCAGACTTGATAAGGAAGGTCATCCATGTCTTCCTCTCAATGACTGATGCCACGATGACAACCAGGACAGAAAAAAGGACACATTCACAGAACCAACTTTTTTTGCTACTAAAATCAGAAACTAGAAGCTAAAAAGCAGGCACCACTCAACTAACCCAAACATATTCATCACCCCCCAATTTTCAAATACCTTTAGAATCACACAAAATCAAGGCAACCGGTTCCTCAAAAGAATTAAATTCTGGAATTTTAATCTAAGCTGATTGTTCTGAGACGGGAAAGAGCTCAATCATGTCAAGAGCAACCAAAGGAAACACTGGGAAATGGCCTCATAAAAGCCCTTCCATTGAAAGCTACAGGATTTTGTTACCTGCTTGAGCCCTTCTCTAGAAGGGAGAGATGTTTTCACAATATCATCAATTGCCCACCACTGATCAGCCAGGTAAAGCGCCACAGCTAAAAGAGAATGAATGGCCATTAACACTTAAGACTTAAAACACACAGTATCATCAGTTGTAAAAGTTTACATAGATGCTTTTAAATATGCCCAAACCTTATATACTTCACATTACAATTCCATTTATAAAATTTTAGCTCATCCCTTAAATACTTTATTTTGAGCAACTGAGAATGTTCCTAAAATTAAAATTTAAAATGCATTTTAAAAATATATACTTTCATGTAGCTACCTTTTTAATGAAATTCTGTAAGTTTAGAAGAAAGTTGCTCTTAATTTACAAAATTGAAGCAAAAAAAAAAAAAAAAGAGAGAGAGAGACCTGTGAGTGAATCCTCAGGCGCAAAGAGAGCCAGGATTTTCTGGGTCTGATCTCCACCATAAAGGGGCACGAAGCCTACATTTGAAAGACTAATAGGAATCTGAAATGACAATTGGTTAAAGATTAATAAAACATCTGCCCAAAAAACACACAACACCAACCAGTTCTCAGAATACAGAACTTTCCCTGTAATAATTTTAGCTATATAACTTAAACTCACTGGAAATAACATATGTTGTTTCTTTAAAAATAAAACAAAACAAGAAAAAAAAAATCAAACAGATTTCCCTTTTTGAGTTTTGTCTTCTTGGGTGAACCATGATAATGCTTTCTAATAAGTGTTACTGTGTTCTAGAAACATTTTTAAATTTAAAAAAAGCCACAAATAGTTCATGGTTACTAAAAGAAAAAAAAAAGCAGTAATTTGTAATCTTTTGTTTGCAGTATATAAGGACTAAGTTCTATTTCCAATTAAAAGCTCTTTTCTTTTTCCCTGTGAGATACACACAATACTTCAATCAATCCATTGAGTCAACACTAACTTCCCATTTAGAGAAGTTACTACAGTTGAAAGAATTATAAATTACAGATATTGCAGAAACCTTTTTCTGGATCTGTGCTTTGATGTCTCCTGAAGAAAACCCCAAGGCCCGCACGAGGCACAGAATGCACACCTGCAGTCCACAGTCCACCTGTACCGACTTCAAGTCTGTCATACTAAATCACGGCCTACTCACTACAAAGAATCACTCTCCTAATGCAGAAAAAAATAAAAAATCACCACCCAAAATAGCAGTTCTGATGATAATTTTTAATTTTTGAAGACATTTCCGATCTCAAAAATTCTGATCTAAATGTCAATTTGCTCAAATAGCACAAGTCTGACCAACTGGTCAATTTATTACCTATTATTTCAAAGGTGAAAGAGAGAAATAGGAAGCAATAACCGGTGGTTGATTATGATACTTCACTAACCAATATGTACGACTTTCAGAATCAACTTCTGAAAACTAAGTGAAAATGATGATCAATACTTGAGAAAGTAAACAGCGTCTTTCCCCTCTGGAAGCCTTCTTGATACTACAGCAGATTTCTATGCTTAACAAATCTCATTCCAGGGGCCAGCACGGTGGCATCAAGGGCTAATTCTCTGTCTGCAGGGCTGGCACCCATACAGGCAGCAGATTGTGTCCTGGCTGCTCCACTTCTGATCCAGCTTTCTGCTTATGGCCTGGGCAAGCAGGAGAGGATCGCCCAAGGCCTTGAACCCCTGCACATATGTGGGAAGCTGGAAAGAAGCTCCTGACTCCCAGCTTTGGATCAGCTCAGTTCAGCTCAACTCAGCTTTGGCTATTGCGTTCATTTAAAGAGTGAACCAGTGGATGGATTACTTCTCTCTGTGTCTCTCACTCTTCCTGTAAAAAAATCTCCTTATCAAATAAAAATAAACCTGTTAAAAATTTTTTTAAAGGAGGACACCGACTTCACGCATAATAAATGGAATAGAAAAAAATTGAGAAAAGTCACTGTGGAATGCCTTACCGTAACATTGAGAAAAGAAAAGCCCTCTGGATTGTCAGGATCTGCACACCTTAAATCTGTCATGTAATCTTCCGCAGAAGTTTCCAGTTCCTCATGACTGCAATTATCCAGCATATCCACAGGGAATGCCATTTTTGGTAACTAACAACACAAAACAAAATATTTCACGATAAGAAATACTATCCATCTTTACTCACAGAAAAAAAAATTTACTGCAATACTGAGATATTCTACTGTACGATTTACGGAAAAGCAAAGCGACAGAGAAGAAAGGAGAGAAAAAGTGAAAGAGGGAAAGAAACGGGAAGAGAGAGCTGGGTCACTCCCTCCGTGGCCAGAGGAGTCAGGGCTGGGCCGGGCTGACCCAGGAGTTGGGAACTCCACCCTGGCTCCCAAGTTGATGGCAGGGGCCCAAGCTTTCCCAAGCACAGGGGGTTGGCTCTGACGGAGAGCAGCCAGCACTCAAAGCAGGAGGCTCATGCGCGATGCCGGCATCCAAAGCACTGGCTTAACCTGCTGCGCAACAATGCCAGCCCTGTCATGTTTTAAAAAGTTCAAAAGAATCTTGACGGAAACTATTTCAAACAATAAGAAAATAAAATTTGATATGCATTAAATCTTTTTAAAACTTAGGAATGTATTTAAAATTCATTGATATAACAGAACTCATGCAGAACCAAGCTTTCCTATAAACAGTAACACTAAAAAGAAATAATGAATGTGAAAGTAAAAGTAAACGGCAAAGACCTCACTTGGGGCCCAGTGAGGTAGCCTAGTGGTTAAATCCTCACCTTGCAACCCCTGATATCTTATATGGACACCAGTTTGATATGTAGCTGCTGCACTTTTCATCTAAGCTCTTGCTTATGGCCTGGAGCCTTGGGAACCTGCGCCCCCATGGAGGTCCCAGAGGAAGCTCCTGGCTTCAGACTGGCTCAGCTCTTGCCACTGTGGCCACTTGCGGAGTGAACCAGTGGATGGAGGATCTTTCTCTCTGTATCTCCTTCTCTATATATATCTGCCTTTCCAATAAAAATAAATGTTTTTTTTTTTAAATCACAGACAAATTAAAATTGGCTTCAATTTAAGACAGCATAAAACTATACGAGGAAAACTATGAAACGTTTCTGAAAGACTGAATCACAACAGGGAAGACAAATGGTTCCTGAATATTAAGCTTCAACATCATAAAACCAGTCCGCCCTAAGACAATCTACCAGTTTAACTCAATCATTATGAAAATAACATTGGTGGTGCTTTTTTCCTGAACCCAGGTAAGTTGACTATGAAATCAAATTGTAAGGATATCCTTATTACATCTAGAAAAATGATACTAAAACTCCTATGGAAACACAAGAGAGCCTGCATAGCAAAATCAACCTTGACAACAGCAACAAAGCTGGAGGCATCACAATTCTAGACCTTAAGACTTACAATAGGACAATTACAATCAAAACAGCCTGGGACCGGCACCAAAAAGCAGACACAGAGATCAACGGAATAGGATAGAGTGCCAGAAACCAACCCACACACCTACAGCCAACTAATCTTTCACAAATGACCTGAAACCAATCCCTGGAGAAAGGATAGTTTCTTCAACAGATGCTGGAAAACTGTATCAACGTGTGTGAAAGTACGAAACACGACTCCTAACTCACACCTAAAAATACCAACTCTACATGGATCGATGACCCGACAGAACTCCCTGATAGAGTAAGTTACAAAACACAGGGCAAGTTCTCCAAGACACTGGAATAGGTAAAGACTCCCCGGACAAGATCTCAGAGGCACAGTTAATTAAAGCAAAAAATAAACAAATGGGATTACGTCAAGCTAATAAATTTCTGCACTAGAAAGGAAACGATCAACAAAGTGAAAAGACTACACAACTGGGCAAAGTTTTGCAACTCACGCAAGTAGAAGGGTTAAGATCCAGGATGCATAAAGAGCTCCAGAAACTCAACAAGAACCAAGCAAACCAGTTAAGCAGTGAAAACAGGACACGAACAGTTTTCAAAGGAGAAATGCAAAGAGCAGACACATGACAAAAAAAAAATATATGTGTTAAGATCACTAACCATCAGGCAAATGCAAATAGCACCCACAATTAGAGGTCACCCTACCCCAGCTGGAATGGATATCGTCCAAAAATCAAAAAATAATACATGCTGACGAGGTGTGGAGTGAAAAATACCCTAACCACTGATGGTGGGAACGGAAAAATTCAGGAAGACAGCGTGTGGAGTCCTCCGAGATCGGAAAATAGATCTATTGTATGACCCAGCCATTCCACTCCCGGAAATGAAAATATAAATCCACATGTGAGAGAATCATTTGCACCACCATGTTTACTACAGCTCAATTCACAATAGCTGAGATAAGGAATCAGCACACGTGTCCATTAAGCGAGGACCAGACAGAGAAAATGTGATATGGAACACACTGTGGAACACTGCTCAGCCACTACAAAATGAAATCCTGTCATTTGCAACAAAATAGATACAACTGGAAATCCTTACATTTAGTGAAATAAGTCGATCTCAAAAGACAAATATGTTTTCTCTAATATGCAGCAGCTGATACCACAAAATGTACAGGATAGAAATAAAACAACTTTTAGCCCATTTTTATACTCTTGTGGAACTGTGACCCTCCTATTTTTCAGAGGTTGAATATTATCCGTGGTGAATTAAGCCTGCGCATTCAGAGTGGATTAAACTATGTCTTTGCAAAACCAGAGTGGAGGACGAGAAAGGCACGAAGGGGAGAGCAGAGGAGGAAGGAGGAAAACGCGGCTGTCTTCTTGAAACTGGACCTTTGGAATACATAAAATCCATTCCCTTTTTGTTAAAAAAACAATAATAAAATAAAACTAGGAAACATTTTAAATGTTAATGTCACATTTAAATTTCTAAGCTACAGGGCCTGTGTTCTGGTGCCATGACCTCAGCCACTTCTTGCAACACAAGCAACCCCTCTGGGCACTGGGTTCAAGACTCAGTTGCTCTACTTTCAATCCAGCTCCCTGCTGAAGTGTCTGGGAAAGCCGTGGAAGACTGACCCACGTTCCTGGGTCCCTGTATCCATGTGAAAGACCAGGGACGTGAAGTCTCTGGATTTCAGACTCACCCATTGTGGCCATCTGGAGTGCTAGCCAGTAAATGCAGCATTTTCTCTGCCTCCCCTTCTCTCCGTAACTTGGCCTTTCAAATCAATAAATAAATCTTTAAAAAACAATATTCTAAACACTCTTCTTTTTCAAATTCTATTATTGAAAAGGAAAAATTCTACTGAATAAGTCAAATAGGTTATCGGAATAAAGAACCCAATGGCTGGGACAAGCATACTACTGTAGCAGTTTAAGCCACCACTAAAGAACATGTGAATCCCACGCTCAGCCTCCGCTTCAAATCCAACTTTCTGCTAAAGTGTATTCTGGGGCCGGGTGCAGTGGCTTAATTAGCTAATCCTTTCCCTTGCAAGAGCCAGTATCCCATGTGGATGCTAGTAGGCGCCCAGGCTGCTCCACTTCCCATCCAGCTCCCTGCCTGTGACCTGGGAAAGCAGTCGAGGACGGCCCAAAGCCTTGGGACCCTGCACCCATGTGGGGGACCTGGAGAAAGCTCCTGGCTCCTGGCTTTGGATCAGCATAGCGTACCAGCCGTTGGGGTCACTTGAAGAATGAACCATCAGACAGAAGATCTTCCTTTCTGTTTCTCCTGTCTGTTTATCTGCCTTCCCAATAAGAATAAATAAATCTTCAAAAAAAAAAAAAAGGGCTGCTTTGATTATCCTAAAATGCACGAAGTTCTGTAAAATCTCGCTTGAATACTATAAACTGCTAAATATAAATACATACATATATGTATGTATATTTATGAAAGCTGTTGGAACCAATGCAGACTCTGAGAGGCAGGGATCGTGGCTCAAGCAATGGGGTCCCTGCCAGTCAGGTGGGAGTTCTCCTGGCTCTGGCCTCAGTGCAGCCCCAGGAGGTATGGGTACCACTGCACTCCGGCACGGGATGGCTTGTCGCAGCAAGAGTCTGTCCTGTAGAACAAAAGCTGGTGGGAAATGCCTGACGTGTGGGAACACAAGGTCATCATGTTTCATTCAGGCTTTAAAATACAAAACGATAGCTTGGAATTGTTATTAAAGACTATAACTTCACTTATATAAAAAAATTTCACTTAAATGCAGAACAATTTTGCTTCCCCAAGTCTGACAAATTTAAATACCATCAAATTTGCAAGAGAGCAAAATCCCACTTACTCAGAAGTTGCAATTTCACAGTTTAAATATATTTACTATAAGCTTTACTGTGAAAAAAAAAAATTAGAAGCTATTTCTCTAATTCCAAAGGCCCATTTATATACAGACATTCCAAATGATTTTTTGCTTCCAAACTTGCTCTTATAGCCATTATTTTTTTTTTATTACCAGTTCCCTGCTAAATTTTAACAGAACTTAAAAGAAACAATCAGAAATTATTTTCATGAGTAACAACACTAGGTAATATGTACTGAGAAGAGTCGTCCACGCATCAGTCTTTAAAGAGACTGTTACCTTGAATATTCACATACAACCAGCTCCATGTTACTGAGAAGCAGCTTCAGAGTTTAAGAGAATTGTACAACATTACTGAAACCCCAGTAAGAACCCAGCCATCAGAAAAACATAATTATTGTTGTTCAGTATGCAAAATCGAGTGTTACGGTATTTGTTGCAATTACATAAAATTCCCTTCTGTAAAATACTGTAATAGCTCCCTATTAAATATTCTATTCTTGTATTACTGTCAGAATGAGTTCTTCAGTTGGGATTCTGTGACCCGGTTCCCGGGTCAGTTCTGCCTCAAGCTTTCCGACTGCAGGCCAAATACTTACCCACTTTAGGCTTCTCTCTTCTCATTGGTAATGGGGAGCAACCAGAGAAGATAATTCTAAAGACCTTTTGACCTCTAAATTCTTATCTTTGCTTTCTAAAATCTTTTTAAAATTGAGACGATGTAAACTGGTAGCCTTATAGCAGATCTGCTAATGTAGAAAGGCAAGAATCAGAGTGGTACGGTTCCAGAGGGAAATATAGAGTTGATTCTAAAATCTCTTGATTTACCCCTGCTCTTCTTCGTT